TTTTTTGAATATGGAGAGACCAATGGCTGCACCTTAGATGATTACTCATGAACTTCTAATATCCCATAAGTGTCATATTAGTTATATAATTTATATCCCATCTTAATTTAAAATATTTGGACAGAATACCTCTGATGTGCATAAGTATTTCAAGATGTCACAGGGAGATGAGAAAATAAACTCATCTTTGTAAAATCTATCTGTGGAGACAAGACATACAGTTCATTGAGAGTAGAGGCTATGATTTAGAGTAAAATGATTGCTATAGATATGAAATGATCTGAGGGAGGTGTTTGTAGAGCTGGCACAACCTGAGTTGAGCTTTGGAGGAGAAGACAATTATGGAGAAGTAAAAGGAGAAGGGGACAAATGGCATGTCACCATTGCATGTCAAAAGGATTAGTTAAGTGATATGCAGGGACCAGAATGGAATGGAAATGTGGGCGATCCCTGTGTGAAAACTTATTAAAACATTTAAGACAGAAGCATCAGAGCATTAAAACAAGTACTACATCGTTGCACAGGTTATATCCATGCAGCTAGCCTTGAATACAAATGAAGATATATGTCTTACAGGGTTGGTCATTATGTTTGTCTTTATTTTTATTTAGAACTTTCCCCTGGAAATAGTTGTAAGGGGATGTCCTCCCCTCTATTATAAAGGAATTATCATACATAAGAAGCAGCCTGTGTAAACACTTTTGAATGAAAATGAGTTGGTTAGGTGGATAAAACATTGGGAGAGCTAACTTGCAGTTTTCAAGGAGATGTTACTGTTAGCTGCTGTTGAGACAACTTCAACTCATGGCATCTCAAAGTACAACAAAATGAGATGTTGCCTAGTCTAGTCTTAGGCCATCTTCATGATGTTAGTATGTTCTATTCCATTGTTTCAGAAATTGTGTATCTGACGTCCCTTCCAACCTAGGGGACTCATCTTCTATTACTATATAAAGAATGTATTCTTTTCTGATCCATAAGGTTTTCATTGGTTAATTTTCTAAGTAAATTACCAAGTCTTGTTTTCTAGTCTATGTTAGTATTAAATCTCCACTGAAACCTGTTCACTGACCCTGCTGGTATTTGAAATATCAGTGACATGTCTTCCAGCATCATAGCAACTCAACCCACCATTGTATTACAAACTGACAGATGAGTGGTGGTGCAGTACAATAGTTCATATTTAACTAGGACTTGTATAAGCATGGTAAAGAACTCTGGAGGACTTTGAAGGAGACAATCTTGGGAATCCATGTCACAGTGAAATGGGAAAAGATTCTGTGGCTGTAAAAGATCCCAAGGAAGGTAACAATTAAGAAGAACAAAAGGAATAATAGGACTATGCCACAAATGAGGTTCTCCAAGTAAAAATTGCAGATGTGAAAAAAAGCTCACATTCTTGACGTTGAAAAGCAGTGTACTCAGGAGGTTGTTGTTAAGTGCCGTTGAGTTGGTTCCAACCCATAGCGACCCTATATAGGGTTTCCTAGGAGCAACTGGTGACCTTGAACTGCTGACCTTGCAGTTCAAATGGCTTTGTAGTTTGGCACATTAAGACACAGTGTCACACCAGGAAGAAAAAAAGAAAGAATTTCTGACATAGAATTAATGGACCATAAGCGATAGGTGTAATACTGAAGTTGTTGTTATTAGGTGCCTTCAGGCTGGTGTTGACTCATAGCAACCTTATGCACAGCAGAATGAAACATGTCCTGATCTTGCACCAACCTCACAATCATTGTTACACTTGAGCCATTGATGCTGCCACTGTGCCAATCCATCTTATTGGAGACCTCTTTTTTGCTGACTCTACTTCACCAAGCATGATGTCCTTCTCCATGGACTAATCTCTCCTGGTAATATGTCTGAAGTATGAAATACAAAGTCTGACATCCTGGCTTCTGAAGAACATTCTCACTGTACTTCTTCCAACACAGATTTGTTTGTTTTTTTGGCAGTCATGGTACTGTTAATATTCTCTTCCAGCACCATAACTCAAAGACATCAATTCTTCTATGATCTTCTTTAGTTACTGTCCAACTTTTAGATGCATATGAGGTTATTGAAAATACTATGGCCTGCGTGAGGCACACCTTAGTCTTCAAATGGACATCTTTGCTCTTGAACTCTTTTAAAAGAGTTCTTATGCAGATTTGCCCAATTCAGTAAGTTGTTTGATTTCTTGATGGCTGCTTCCATGAATGTTGATGATTGAGGTAAGCAAAATGAAGTCTTTGATAATGTCAAATGAGGACATAAAATACTTACTGATCAGCATCAAAGACCACTCACTGCCTTCATATGAGTTGCACCTCAAAGTAAAGAAAACAAAATTCGCATGACTGGACCAACAAATAACATCAAGATAAATGATGAAAAGACTGAAGTTGTCGAAGACTTCATTTTGCTCAGAGTAACCATCAATGCTCATGTAAACAGCAGTAAGAAAACTAAGTGGCATATTGCATTAGGAAAAGGTGCTTCAGAAGACTTCTTTAAAGTTTTCAAGAGCAAAGATATCACTTGGAGGACTAAGGTGCATCTGACCCAAGCCATGACATTTTCAATAGCCTCACGTGTATAGAAAGTTGGACAATAAATAAGGAAGGCCATAGAACAATTGATGTATTTGAGTTATGGTGTTGGAGGAGAATATTAAAATACTGTGGACTGTCAGAGGCACAAACCAATCTGTATTGGAAGGAGTATGACCAGAGTGTTCCTTGGAAGTCAGAATGGCCAAACTTCGTCTCTCACACTTTGGATATCTTATCGGGAGATACAAGTACGTGGAGGAAGATATCATGCTTGGTAAAGCGGAAGGTCAGTGAAAAAAAGGAAGATCAAAAATGAGATGGACTGGTGTAGTAGCAGCAACAATGTGTTGAAGCATAGCAATGATTGTGAGATTGGCACAGGACTTGGCAGTGTTTTATTCTGTTGTGCACAAGGTCGCTGTTAATTAGTACCTACTCAACATCACCTAATAACAACAACTTAAAAATACACAAAAATTATATATATATATATATATATATATATATATATATATATATATATACATACAAAACTCAAACCACGTCCTGAGAATATTTTTATTTTAATTAAATAGAGTAAATATATGCAATCTAGAAATACTTTCCTGAGCATCATCAGAAGTATTTGCTGCCATGCTAAATTTAACTGACAAAAAGAAGAACTATTTGTTCATTTGCATGTATCACTAATTCCATGCATTCTAAAAGCAATCCCTTGGATTCTGAATGGCCTGCAGAATCAGGAAGAGGAAAAGGTAAAGAAACAATAACAAAAAAAAAACCTGGATAAAAGGGTGACATGCTTATTCCATTACTGTATTTGCTAAAGAGAAGCAGTATCTACAAAAAATAGAATTTTGTAAGATGTAATTAAATTGGGTTGTTTAAAATTTGTTTTTTGAAGTTGACTGTTGTTCAATATTATGTAATAAAAATATAAGACATTTAAATGCCAAATAATTTTATATCAAGAGTCTTAAATTTTAGAATTACGAGCAAAGTTTTTATTATTTTCTTCTATATACCAGTCTAAATACTAACAATTGTAATTATAATCATGGTTTTGTTGTTGTTAAGTGCCATCAAATTGGTTCTGACCCATAGTGACCCTGTATATGGTTTCTGATGGGTAGGTGGTGAGTTTAAATCGCAGATACTGTGGTTCAAACTGACTTTGAGGTCCATTGCTTGTCCCCCAGTGCCACACCCTATAATATTAGGTAATGTAGAATCACTAAGTATTCAATGCTTTGGGTTAAGAGATTTGTATCTAAATGTTTTTCACCTTTAATTATAAAAGTCTGAACTTAAGTGTTGAGCTGAATCACTTAGAGCTAATGTGTACTCTATATTCAGAAAGAACCCCCAAATCAATACCTGTCCAGAACATGGTAAAAGAATGTGGAAATAGTTGCGTATTCTTGGTTATATTTTACCTTAAAACTTTCAGGGAATTATTAGCTGAGAGTTATATAAACCATAATAACATGATTTGATAGACAGCTCTGAACCATTACATTGCTTCTAATCTCTGTGATAACCTAATTTTCTGGACACCTGATCACAGTCCTTTACAGTCTATATTGTTGTTAAGTGCTGTCCAGTCGACTCTGACTCATAGCAACCCTGTATAGGATTTCTAAGGAGCAGGTAGTGGGTTTGAACTGCTGACCTGGTAATTCACAGTTCAGTGCTGATTCTATAACACCCACCAAGAGTCTTTACAGCCTATGATGGGAAAGAAATACTTGATCTAGGAGACATTGTTCATCCCTGGGAACTCCAGTGTGCATTGTTGCACATAGGAAAAATGACATTTCCCAAACCCTTAGGTACCATAGTCTTTAAGTTGCCTTGCTTTGGGTTATGCTGTTGTCTATCAATACTCCATCAGAGTCAGTATTTTCACTGATAATAACCAGAAGTATCTAAGAATGACTATCTTCCCCTTTATTGAGAGACATGTAATTAATATTTCACTCAAAAAAACACACTTTGCAATTTTAGTCTTTAGGACCCTAAAAAATGTTATTTGTCTTCTTGCTGGCAAACTCTTTATGTTCCCCAGAACCTATTACATTTTTGTTTCTAATGAAATATACTTTATGCTTGCTGCAATAGAAGAAAATATTAATACATTTGTTTTTACTTACAATTGAGTCCCATAGCATAGAAACAGGGACAATGGAAAACTACAGTATTCATTGGGTGGGATGGTGGGAGGATTTAGTATTCAGTAGACACTAAACTGACAAATTTAAAATGCAGTTTGAATCCCACTGGCATATCTTATCTTGTAGCAGAAAATACAAACACAGTAGAAGACTTATTCAATAATCATGTACAATCTTTATTATTGATAAAAGTAATGGGTTTTTTTTTTGTTGTTGTTGTGTGTGTGTGTGTGTCTGTGTAATGTCAGCTTTTCCAAATGTTTAATGGGACAACATTTTAATGTTATAGAATCCTGGTGAAATATTCATTATTTTGAGAGATGAAGTAATTGGTGATACTGTGGAAGTTGAATTTACATCAAATAATAAGTGCATTAGAACACGGCCAACCTTTTGGAATAAGACAGTCTGGTGTATGAAAGCTTTAGGTAAGAACTTTCACGTTAAAAATATAAATCATCACTCTATGTTCTTTTAAATAAATTTATGATAAATGGTTTCATTTCCCTACAGAAACTAATATTGCTCTGCAGATGTTTCCTGTGTTTAGTTTTTTTTATACACCAGGTTGTTATTATTCATCTGGGTTCACATAAGTATGAATGTGCAAATTATGAGAATTTAGGTTAAATACCATGTGGTGAAATGATACCCAGTAACATGTTTTTAAATATGTCAGCAGGGAGCACTTTAATATATGCCACCTATGAAATATGAACCTAAAATTATTTGCTTTATTGTAACCTTAGGATTAACAGGTGTTTAAATTTATAGTCTTATTAGCAAATAATTTGAGAAGCAAATAATATAAAGAAGAATAGGACACCAAGTTTGAAACAAAACTCTTTAACAAGATACAATATGTAGATGACACAACCTTGCTTGCTGAAAGTGAATAGAAGTTGGAGCACTTGCTGTAGAATATTAAAGAGTACAACCTTCAGAATGGATTACAACTCAATGTAAAAAAAATAAAAATCCTCATAACTGTACCAATAAACAAAGTTATGATAAATGGAGAAAAGATTGAAATTGTCAATGATTTCGTTTTCTTGGAACCATAATCAGTGCTCATAGAAATAGCACTCAATAAATAAAACAATGTATGGCATTTGGCAAAACTGCTACAAAATGCCACTTTAAAATATTACAAAGGAAATATCTGAGTTATCTATAGCAGTCATACCACAGATGGGTGTCTTAAATAAACAGAAGTTTATTCTATCACAGTTTAGGAGACTAAAGTCCAAATTTAAAATGCTGGCTCTTGGAGAAAACTTTTCTTGTTTGTTGGCTCTGGGAAAAAGCCCTTGTTTCCTTTCAAAATCTGTAGGCCCAGCATTCCTGCGAGATCTCCATGTATTTTGGCTTCTTGAGTCTAGGATCCTCAGAGAGAAGGGGCACCAGGATCAAAGGGCACACTCCACTCCAGGTTCTTCTGTCTCATGGCAGTAGATTCCTCTTTCTCTGTTTATTTCTTTCTCCTTTTATATCTCAAAAGAGATCAACTTAAGATAAAACCTAATCTTGTAGACTGCATTAGACCTTACTAATATCACAGAAGTGAAGATTGACAACACATATAATAATTACTTCAGATCAGGGCTTATCACATCAGGTCACACCATGCAGGAAGTGATTATATTATATAATATGTTATAATGAGGAGTTATTACATCTTAACTGTGTGGCATTGTAGAATTCATTCTAGACTGCAAACCATGAGGTCATCAATTCAAACCTACCAGCTGCTCCTCGGGAATCCTATATAGGATCCCTATGAATTTAAACCAATTCGATGGCTCTTAACAACTGCTACACTAATAAGAATCTTAGCCCAATCAAATTGACGCAATACCTTAACTATCACAGCAAAGATGTCACTTTGAGAACTCAGGTATACCTGAACCTAGCCATATAATTTTCAATCACCTCATGTACAAGTGAAAGTTTGACAATGAATAAAAAAGACCATAGAAGAATTGATGCTTTTGAGTTATAGTGTTGGCTAAAATTACTGAATGTACCATGGAATTCCAGAAGAGCAAACAAATTTATCTTGGAAGAAGTACAGACAGAATATTCCTTAGAAACAAGTATAGTGAGATTTTATTTCTCATACTTCATATGTGTTATCAGGAGGGAATTGTCCCTTTAGAAGGATCAATGATTGACTTATGAATAAAAACAATGTGAGGATGATGCTGGACAGGGCAGTGCTTCATTCTGTGTGCTTATGGTTGCTATAAGGAAAAGCCACTTCTACTCATAATTAACAACAAAAACAAATGTGTAATTGTGATCAATTTTCTTGAAGCACAACAGTAAAACTAAGAGAATTTAAAGGAAGGAAGTCTTAATAACAACCTAAGATGTGCAATTGACAAAACCTCCATTAAAAAAAAAAAAAAAAAAGTTGAAAACTGCCTTGGTGAGAAAAACGCAGGAAAATTGAACTGCAGAAACAGATGAAGATCCCCATCACAGCTATGTATTTGTTATTGGAGGATAGTAATGACTATACTACTATACTATGAGAATTTTGTTGTAAAACCTTATTCCATCCTTACTACAGCCCTGGTCTTGCCACTTTAGACTTATTTTTGTTTTAAAAACTCAAAGAATGCTTAATCACAATTTGAGTTCCTTGAGGGTACCTAAACTGAAGTTTTGGTGTGCTCTAAATCAAAGAGCACAGAATTTGGGGGGAAAGGGTTACAAAGATGTAAAGACTGACTTCAGAAATTTGTTGACCTATATTGAGGATCTGTTGAGAAACAAGTTTTACATTTTGACATTTTTGCTGAATAAAGTTTTCTATGATTTTGTAGTGATAGTTTATCATACTCATATTATGTTAAGACAATTATACATCACTCCAAAAAGGTTAGTGTTTTGCTTTTATTTCAATTACAATTTTAGTATGCATTATTATATCTTAAGGATATTCTCCCTTAAAAAAACAATACATTCTGCTTTAAATAATTAAGTGATACTGTTGTTAAGTGGTGTTGAGTTGGTTTCAAGTCATAGCAACCATTCATAGGGAATCTGAAGAGCAACTGGTGAGTTGGAAACACCAACCTCGTAATTCAAACCGACCATGGGGTCTAGTGCTTATCGTACAGTGCTACACCAATGACAGTGTTTACTAAAATTGTTATGAATTTTTAAAGCCTTTCTTCATATTCTCTAAAAGCTGCAATAATGTGATATATATATATAGTTCTGGTGTGGCGCTGTGGGTTAATGCGCCAGACTGCAAAGCCGTAACTCACCAGCTGCTCCTTGGAAACCTGATATAGGGTCCCTATAGGTCGGAATCGACTCAAAGGCACTTAACAACAACATATACGTATACATATTAAATATCCACCTCTTAACTCTTGTTTGTATTTTATAAGATTTTCCTGCTGGCTCTGTCAGTGTAAATATCTACAGTAATGGAATTGTTAAGGCGACAACAGAGATAAAATACTATACAACAGCAAAGGAGATAGTGTTTCGAGTGGCAGATCCAGGATATGGAACATGTCAGGTAAGTTGATCGTTCCATGATGTTAATAATAAAGTAAGCTAAAGAGCTAATGTGGGAAAAGAGAATGCATGCTTTAAAGTCTAAATGTTGATTGAATGAGTTACTGATCAATAATAACAGAAGAAGCTAACCTCTGTGGTACATAGATGCAGATAAATTAGTTTGCTTATGTCAGGTCATTCCAGATAATGTCAAATGAAGACAGACTATCCATTACAAAATAGCTTTTGTAATAGGCTCATTTCAAAGCTGTTACAGAGCAGATAAAGAAAGAGAGAGGATTAAGGAGAACTCTTAAGACAGTAATTTCCTCTTTATCCAGATTTGGACAGCACAAAATTAAAAGAAACTGTTTTGGGGTTAAGGAGTCAGACATACCAAGTATATCATCAGAACGGGAGTATACGTTGTTAATTAAGAAATTATTATTTCCAAGTGGAAATTTTCAAGCTTAGTATATCTTTTTCTTAAATTCCATTTACCGTAGTTACCTGGGCAAAAACTGTTATTTATATTAGTAATGTTTATTGGGAATAAGAAATTATCTAAAAATTTCTAATGATATATGAAATGGCATTTTGAAGCCCAATATTAATTCCTCACTTGTAACAAAGTTGTTAGTTGTTGTCGAGTCATCTCTGACTCATAGTGATCCTATGCAGAACAGAATAAAGTACTGCGGTGAAGACCTGGTGAGGCACTTCTAATGCAGAACACAATAAAGCACAGAACAGAAAAGAACAGAACAGAAAAAAAGCACAACAGTGAAGACCTGGTGAGGAGCTTCTAATTTTCTCAAAAGTCAATTGCATGGAATTTTTTCAGGGGACATATAGGTTCAGAATCCACTGCCTACATTGAAAATGTCCTTTCATTTTGCTGTTGTTCTCAGGTGCTTTTGGGTAGGTTCTGACTAATATTGACTATGCACAGCAGAACGAAATACTGCACAGACCTGCACCATCTTACAACTGTTGCTAAGCCTGAGCCCACTGTTGTTGCTACTGTGTCAATCCATCCCATTGTGGGTCTTCTTTTTTTTTTATGAACCTCCCTCCATATTCCAAGTCTCTTGATAATATGTCCAAACTACAAAAAGGGAACCCTTGATCATCCTCATTTAGAAGGAACATTCTGCTTGTACCTCTTCTAAAACAGATTTTTTTGTTCTTCTGGAAATCCACAGTACTTTCAATATTCTTCACCAACACCAAATTCAAATGCATCAATTCTTCTCTGCTCTTCCTTATTTATTGTACAACTTTAACATGAATATGAGCAATTACAAATACCTTAGCTTGTGTTAGGTTCACCTTAGTCCTCAAACTGACGTCTTTGTAGCAAATTTTCTTAATGCAATACGTTATTTGATTTCTTCACTTATGCTTCTATGAATATTGATTGGGGATTTAATTAAATCCAAGTTTTTAAAATCTTCAACCTTTTGTCCATTTATCGGGTTGTTATTTTTTGGTCCACTTGTCAGGATTTTTGTTTTCTTTTTATTGAGGTACAATCCATACTGAAAGCTGTTTCTTTGATATTCATCAGTAAGTATTTTAAGTCCTCCTTGCTCTCAGCATACAATGTTGTGTCATCTGCATATTGGAGGTGTTAATGTGTCTTCCTCCAATCCTGATATCATTTCTATAATCCAGGGTCTTAGATTATTTGCTCAGCATACAGAAGGAACACGTATGGTAAATGATGCAACCCTTATGCACAATACTTTATTATGAGCCAGTCAATCAAAAGCCTTTGCATAGTCAATAAAGCAAAAGTAAATATCTTTCTGGTATTCTCTGCTTTCAGCCAAGATGCATCTGATGTCAGCAATGTTACCCTCGTTACAAGTCCTCTTCTGATTCTGCCTTGAATTTCTGGAAGCTCCTTGTTGGTGTACTGTTGCAACAGTTTTTGAATTATTTTCAGTATAATTTCAATTGCCTATATTTTAATGATATAGTTTGATGATGACATTCTGTTGAGTCACCTTTCTTTGGAATGGGCACAAATATGAATCTTTTCCAATCAACTGGCCAGGTAGCTGTCTTCTATAATTGTTGACATAGATGAGTGAGCACCTAGTTTTGACATTAGTAAGTAAACATTGCATCAGTTTGTTGAAGCATTTCAATTTGTATTCTATCAGTTCCTGGAGGCTTGTTCGTTGCCAGCGCCTTCATTCCATCTTGGATTTCTTCCTTCAAGATCATTGGCTCTTGATCATATTCTGCCTCTTGAAATGGTTGAACATCGACCATTTATTTATGGTACAGTGACTCTGTGTATTCCTTCCATCTTCTTTTAATAGTTTCTGCATCATTCAATAATTTACCCAAAGAATCTCTGAATAACACAAGTTGAGCTTGTATTTTTTTCTTCAGTTCCCTCAGCTTGCGGAAGCTAAGTGTATTCTTACGTTTTGTCTTTCTAATTCCTGGTCTTTGTACATTTCAGTATGTTCGACTTTGTCTTCTTGAACTGCCTTTTGAAATATTCTATTCAGCTTATTTTATCACCTCATTTGTTCTGTATGTTTTAGCATCTCTATGCTGGAGAGCAAGTATCAGAGTCTCTTCTGACATCCATTTTGGTCTTTTCCTTCTTTCTTGTCTCTTTAATAACCTTTTGCTTTCTTTCTGCATGATGTTCTTGAAGTCATCCCTCAACTCATCTTTTCTTCAGTCTTTGGTGCTGAATGCATTAAATATGATCTTGGCATGATGTTTAAACTCAGATGGGGTATGTTTAAGATTATATTTTAGCTATTGTGGACTTGTTTTAATTTTCTTCAGCTTCAGCCTGACCTTGCATATGAACTATTTATAATCTGTTCCAGTCTGCCATTGACCTTGCTTTGGCTGATTATATGGCACTTTTCCACTGTCTTTCCACAAATGAAATTAATTTGAATTCTGTGTATTTCATCTGGTGAGGTCTTTTGTATAGTCATCTTTTAGTTGTTTAAAAAAAGTATTTGCAATGAAGAACTTATTGATTTTGCACAATTCTCTCATGCAATCTCCAGCATACATCCTATCACCAAGGCCATATTTTCCAACTACTGATCCTTCCTCTTTGTTTCCAACATTTGCATTCTAATTGCTAGTAATTATAAATACACCTTGACTGCATGCATTATCAATTTCAGACAGAAGAAGTTCAATTTAATACTTCAATTTCATCTTCACTTTAGTGGTGTGGTGCATAAATTTTAATAATAATGGTATTAACTGGTCATCCTTGTAGGCGTATGGATATTATCTTATCAGACAGCATTGTACTTCAAGTCAGCTCTTGATATGCTCTTTTTGATGATGAATGTAACGCCATTCCTACTCAATTCGTTATTACTGGCATAGTTCACCATGTGATTGTCAGATTCAAAATGGCCAATATCAGTCAATTTTAGCTCACTAATGCCAAGGATATCAATGTTTATGCATCCCATTTCATTCGGACAATTTCCAATTTTCCTAGCTTCATACGTCATACATTCCATGTTATGATTATTGATGGATGTTTACAGCTGTTTCTCCTCATTTTGAGTTGTTCTCCATCACCAAATGAAGGTTCTGAAGGCATTGCTCCATTCACATCATCACAGTCAACTCTACTTTGAGAAGGCATACTAGGCATACATAGGCATACTATGAAGAGTTGTACTCCAAAAATTTTGAAAACTTAGAAGAGATGAATCTATTTTTAGAAAAACACAACCTCCCTAAACTTACACAGAGTGAAGTAGGAAACCTGAAGAGAAATTGATCAGGTCATCAATAATCTCCCAGCCAAATGTTCAGGTCCAGATGGCTTCACTGGTGAGTTTTACCAAACATTCACAGAAGAGCTGTCACCAATTCTACTCAAATTATCCCAGAATATAGAAGAGGATGGAAAACTTCCTAACACATTATATGAAGCAAGCATAGCCCTCATACCAAAACCAGGGAAAGACATCACTAAGAAAGAAAATTAGACCAATATCCCTCATGAACTTAGATGCAAAAATTCTCAACAAAATCCTAGCCAACAGAATCCAATAGCATATCAAAAAAATAATACATCATGACCAAGTGGGATTCATATCATGGATGCAAGGATGGTTCAACATTAGAAAAACAATCAGTGTAATTCACCATGTCAATAAGAAAAAGAAAAAGAACCACATGATCATATTGACTGATGCAGAAAAGACATTTGACAAAATCCAACATCCATTCCTGATAAAAACACCAAACAGAGTAGGAATGGAAGGGAAATTGCTGAACATAATTACGTGCATACATACAAAACCAACAGCCTACATTACTCTCAATGGAGAGAAACTGAAAGCCTTCCCTATGCCAACAGGAACCAGACAAGGATGCCCTTTATCACCACTCCTACTCAATACTGTGTTGGAAGTATTAGCCAGAGCTATACAACAAGATAGGGGAATTAAGGAATCCAAATTGGCAAAGAAGAAGTAAAACTCTCTCTGTTTGCAGACAATATGACCCCAAAGGCTCAGTAAAAAAGTTACTAGACTTGATTGAAAGATTCAGCGGTGGCAGGGTATAAGATCAACGCACAAAAATTAGTTGGATTCCTCTATACTAATAATGACAGTGCTGAAAAGGATGGTAGGAAAGTAATACCATTTACAAGTGCTGCCCAAAGGATGAACTATCTAGGAATAAATGTAACCAGAGAAACAAAAGACCTATACAAAGAAAACTGTGAAACACTACTACAAGAAACCAAAAAGACTTAAAAAAATGGCAGAATATACCATGCTCCTGATGGGAAGACTTAACATTGTAAAAATGTCAATACTGTCTAAAGCAATCTGCACGTATAATGCAACCCCAATCCAGATTTCAACAACATACTTCAAAGAGATAGAAAAAACCATTACAAACTTTATATGGAAAGGAAAGAGACCCATGATAAGTAAAACACTGCTTAGAAAGAAGATTAAAGTTAGAAGCCTTTCACGCCCTGATTTCAAAATT